GTCCCTGTCACAGCAGCACCAGAGACCTGAGACACACCCACCTGTGGTGTCCCTGTCACAGCAGCACCAGAGACCTGAGACACACCCACCTGTGGGGTCCCTGTCACAGCAGCACTGGAGACTTGAGACACACCCACCTGTGGTGTCCCTGTCACAGCAGCACCAGAGACCTGAGACACACCCACCTGTGGTGTCCCTGTCACAGCAGCACTGGAGACTTGAGACACACCCACCTGTGGAGTCCCTGTCACAGCAGCACCAGAGACCTGAGACACACCCACCTGTGGTGTCCCTATCACTGAAGCACTGGAGTATTGACATCCGCCCACCTGTGGTGTCCCTGTCACAGCAGCACTGAAGGACTAACGCACGCCCTGCATTGGTTAAGCTCTCTACAGGCTGGGGGGCAGCGCACCTTGAACAAGGAGGAGAACACATGGAATGTGTAGACAGCACAGGAGCCGTCCGAATCACACATGAGCTGGTTGATGTGGCTCCGCCAGGCCTCCTCTGCGTCGTCACACGCCGTGGGCTGGAAGGCAGCGAGGATGGCAGAGAAGAAGGGCGAGGGAGGAGGGGAGACCCCCCTGTCCCCTTCTCCAAAGCTGCAACAAAGGAAAATGGCCTTGTCAAGAGGCAACCTTCCACTTCACCTTGGTGCCCAGTGCCTGGCCTGACAAAGCTGCCAAGTGGCATCTAAAGGTGCTCTGTTCTTGTCCCACTGGAGAAAAGGGAGCGAGCGGCCCGAACACACCTGCGATCAGTGGAGTTCCAGGGCCTGCGGGCCGCTCAAGGCAGGGGCTGAGCTAACCTGCCTGTAAAAGTCTCTCGGTGCCTAGTGGTAAGAAGCTGTGCTGCAGTCCCAAAGGCACGCGGTTCGAATCTACCAGCTGCTCTGCAGGAGACGGATGGGCAGCCTCCTCTTGTGTTATTGGCTCCCTGAAAACCTGCTGGAGGGTCCGCTATGGGACGTCCCGACTTGACGGCACACGGAAACAACACACGGGCTGCTTCTGGTCTGTGTGACAGGATCTCCTAGGAGTCAAAGCCACCCCGATGGCAGTGGCTGTTCACGGGGTCCTTGTGTAGTCACCTTCACATCTATATGTATATGCTTTTCAGTACATTGACCTGTATTATTCCTTCCATCTTCTTCTGATGCTTCCTGCATCATTCAAGATTTTGCCCATAGCATCTCACAGGATTGAAACTTGAGGCTTGAATTTGTTTTTCAGTTCCTTCAGTGTGAGAAATGCCAAGTAAGTTCTTTCCATGACGCAAGGCCATCAGGCTTGGAAGGGTAGAGGGTCAGGGATGAGATGGATTGATACAGGGACCATGGGGTCAGGTGTGTCGGAGGTGGTGAGGCTGCCTCAGGAGAGGGCAGGGCTCAGAATCCTTGTTCACAGGGTCACTATGGGTCATAGCTGACTTCACAGCACATAACAACATGTTATAAACATGCATACATGTTTCCTTCCTTGGTAGGGAGGTCATAGTGGCTATGTCTTGCTAGTCTCAGAAGAGCCACCAGGCTGAAATCTACCCACTCAAATAGGAGTTGTGATTTTGTTAATGAATAACCTCTCGTTCTGATCTCTGAGCCCATAACGGGGAGCAGTTCCCATGTGTAAGGGCTGCCAATCTTACTCATCTTCAGAGCTCCCAGGGCTGGGCCACATCCCCAGGCCTCCCTCCAGCTCTGTGTTGCTGCATGGCTTAACTTTGGACTCACCGTCAGCAAAGACCACAGACAAGGACGTGTGAGGTCAGTGATGATGAGGGAAGCTGTGAGGTGGATGGACCGGCGGCCACAACCGTGGGTCCAAACATCCCGCAAACCATGGAACTGATGCAGGACAGGACAATATGCATTCTGCCGTCCATGGGAGGCCATGCTGAAGTGGACTCAAGGGAGCCACCACCTCTACACAACACAGCTTCTCGACCTGAGTCACTGCTGACTGTCCAGTTCCTTGTACCCTCCACTGGGCTTGGCCGATTCCAGCCCCGGGAGGACTCACCGAGGGTCATGTCTGCTTGTTACTGCCGCTGTCAGGGGGTCATTGAGTCGGTTCTGTCTCACAGTGACCCAGTGGACCACAGAGGGTGTGTGTCAGAGGACATGCATTAGACAGGGGCGTGCCTTAGGGGGGCGTGGCTTATACGGGGTGGGGGTGGTTTAGATGGGGCGTGGCTCAGACCTGGCGCCTTCACCTTCTGTCGAGAGTCCCTGGTGGGCTTGCGTATTACAGACGGGGTTTCTGACAAAGGTCAGTGAGCGGAATCCACCCTTCACTCCTTGGAAAGATGGTCAGTCTCCTTCTGTAAGGTCCCTGCCTTGGAAAGTTGGTGGAGGGTCCCCTCGAATGAGCCGTGGGTCTGGTGTTGGTTTTTAAGGAGAATCCCAGCCGTGCAAGTGACAGTTAACTTGGAGCTACTAGCTAGAATCCCTCTCGTGGCCACAGAGTTGGAACCGACTCACTGACCCTTCAGCAATTTTCAGAGGATGTAAATCACGTGGGGGGAGACTGCCCATCTTCTCCTAAGGAGTAGCCGTGGATTTGAACCCAGGGCCTTCAAGTTGGCAGTGAAACTCCTCACCATGAAGGTTCCGGAGCCCCCTACCGGTAAAGTGTTAATCGACTGGGCCAGGCCCCTCGCTGATGCACTTGCTAGAAGAGTTTTGTTTCCTGCTTGCATCACAGCTCCTGGCTAAAGTTACCTCCCGGTGGGGAGAGTAATAACAGCACCATTAATCTGCAGGGTTTTCGCTAAGAACAGAGCAACACCGAATGAGGTCCCAGTGTGGGATGTGGGAGGGAGGCGGCCATCCTAAGGGGAACAGGGTGACCTGGTCAGCATGGCTGGCACGAGACCATCACCCAGCCCACTTGGGGAGAGTAAGCTGTATGGAGACTTCTTTGAGTGAAGAACCCTCCCGGCCTCCTTACAGGTAGGTGGATCTCGATGTTCATACGTGTCTCCAACACACAGGTGTCCAACAGCCCCGATGTCCACTCGTGCCTGTCTCTGATATATGGCTGTCTTGCAATGGGAAAGTCTGCGGTTAGGGACCTCTCTAAAGTACTCAAGAGCAATGGTGTCTCTCTGGAGACTAAGGTGTGCCTGATACAGGCCATGGTCTTTGCAATCACTTGTTATGCATCAGAGAGTTGGACAATGACTAGGGAGGATAGAAGGAGAAATGACACCTTTGAGCTGTGGTGCTGGAGAAGAGTATTGAATGTATCATGAACTGCCAAGAAAACAAACAGATTCATCGTAGAGAGGATTAAACCAGGCTTCTCCTTGGAGGCAAGGATTCTGGGGCTTCGCCTGACATACTTTGGACATGTTGTAAAGAGAGACAGGTCTTTGGAGAGGGACATCATGCTGGGTAGAGTAGAGGGACAGCGCAGGAGGGGAAGACCCTCTATGAGATGGATTGATCCAGTGACTGGGGTAATCGGGATGGGTGTGTCAGAGGCAATGAGATTTGCACAGGACAGAGCAGGGTTTAGGGCTGTTGTACATAGGGTCGCTATGAGTTGCAAACGACTCGACGGCACATAACAACAACAACAACAACAACAGGCCTCCCACTGTCCACCTCTGCCTGTCCCTGCGATGGGCACTGGTCAGGCAGCAGGTCCCTGTCTTTGTGGTCACAGCAGAGCTGGCGTGAGAATGCTATGGCATGTGGGGAGGGACTGTCCACTCTACCAGCAGTACCTTTACCTGGCGAGGGTGCACTGGTCCAGCCCGCGCTCGCCCTTCTCCTCCCCCTCCGTCATGTCCAGGCTGAAGCTGTCGCTGCACTCAAAAGTGGCTGGGAGCTCATTGATGGAACTAGAAAGGTCGTCCTCTTGCATGGTGGGGTCCTCCCCCTCATGCCCGGCCTCTGCCTGGAAGGACAGGAGAACAGAAGGCCCTCGTGTAACAGTGGCCATGGAACAGTCTGTGCGTTAAAGGGAGAGCGCTGCGTGAGGTCTGATCAGCTCCCACCAGAGTCCCTCACGTGCGCCCCACAGAGCTGCCCACGGGACTGTCCAGGCTCTGGCTTTGTGGAAGTGGATCAGCAGGCCTGTCTCCCCACCACCTCTGGGTGTCTTTGAACCACTAATCTTTCAGCCAGAAGCTAAGCACTTAGCGATTCGTGCCAGCCTGGGGCTCCTGCCATGTTGATAATACTGCTGTTGTTGCGTGCTGTTAAATCATCTCCAGCTCATAAAACCACTGCCTTTGTTTTTTTTTCTATAATTATATTTTATTAATTTTCATAAACATTTACAGAGATTTTGGGTTTCTATTCATTCATTGTTGCACTATTCTCTCTACCCTCCTCCCAGTTTGTTCTTGTCCAAATGCCACAGTGCTTGTCAAAGCCAGTTCTGATTAATCTTCTTTGTCAGTGTGTCCTTTGCCATTCCCTATCACTCCTCCTCCCTGTGCCTTGGTTTTCAGCCAAACAACAGACATGCTTATAAGGTGAACAGTAGCCCTGGGCAGGTACTCAGTCCCTAGGACAAGAAAAGGCAGTGTTTACAAAGAGAAAGCTCAGAAGGCAGGTAAGACTGGGATGAATGGAAAGGAGAGTCACAGGGGGGAAGGGGGAGGAGTGCTGCTAGAGCGTCAGGCTGTAATGCCACTAAAAACATGTACCTGAATGACTGAATGGAAAGCCAGCTGCTCTATAAATTTCAATTCAAAGCATAAAAATAAAAACAAAACCCCTACTCGCTGCCTCCCCCAGTGGGCTTTCAAGGCTGTAAACCTTAAGAAGATGTGTCCCATTTCTTTTGTGGACTTGCTGGGGACTTTTTGGTCAATGACCTAACACGCAGCTGTCTAAGCAACCAAACCGTGTCACGCACAGGAGAAGTGTCTATGGGATTTCCAGGCTGTGCTCTCCACAGAGGAGCCTTGGCGGTGCAGTGGTTAAGTGCTTGGCTTCCAACCGCAAACGGCTGCTAGTTTGAATCCATCAGTTGTTCCCTGGGAGACAAGACCTGGTAATCTGGTCCTGTTAAAGATTTACTGTGACCCCAAACCCGTGGCCATCAAGTCCTTGTGCACATGCCCATACATGGCTGAGCCGGAGGGCCCTGACTGTCGCTTCCACTGTCATCTTGACAATGGACTGCCAGGCCTCTCCTCCCAAATCACCACACTGGGGCTGCCTCTGCCGTGGGACCCCTGCCTTGCTGCTGGGTGCCATCGGGTTGCTTCCGTGTGACGAGTGGAGCTCAGAGTGGCTCAGACGGGAGGGACCCTAAGGTGCTATCTCTACAAGAGCACCCCATCCGGACTTTCTCCCATGGAGCTGCTGGTAAGTTTGAACCGCTGACCTGTAGGTCAGCAACCAAGCGCTGATCCACAGTATTCCCAGGCCTTTTCCTATTGGTAAGTTCAAGGTCCACGCACAGAGGACAAGGCTCTGAGGTGCTGTAAGAAGACATGCACTGAACATACGGAGGAGGAGGAGGAGGGTCTCGGCCAGGAGGCCAGGGGTCTGGAGACAAACAGGACCACCGGCAAGGAGGCTGGGCTGAGCCTGGCGAGTGGGGATCAGCCCTGACAAGAAGGCAGGCACGGGGGTGGGGTGGGGAGCGTAGCCACACTTCCTGTAGCACTAAGAGTCAACAGAGGTTCTGCCTGGGACTGGTCCTCACACAGCAGGAGTGGAGTATCCGGCCAGCCTCACACTGAGGGAAAAGAACAGACTTACTGATGTGGTGGAGACAGGGAGCACCTGAGCCCTCAGACAGCCTTCTGACCAGCAGACAGACAGGCCATAAAAGAGACAGCTGAGCAGAGTATGTGTGGGGGACAGTCAGTGATATGGGAACCAAAGGACAAGACTTACGGAGCCCTGGTGGCCTAGTGGTAAGAAGCTGAGCTGCAATCGCAAAGAACAAGATTCAGCCAGAAGGGCAACGTCTGGCCAAACATGATGCTCAGAGGGCAGGAAGGGGCCAGAACGTGTAGGAGTGGGAACCGGAAACACACGTAGGAAGTGGGAGTCCTGCAAAGTGAGGGGCTGTGGCCTCTGCCATCCAGTGAAATGCGCATGGAGACACCGTGGAATCCCGAAGCCTTGTCAATTTACACCCACAGTACAATTTAAAAGTAACGGACAACATCTGCCCAAAAGCAATACAGAGATGAGAATCTGGGCGGGTTAGACATTGAGAAGGAAGGACCCCCAGGCAGTGGCAGACTGGCCCTGTGGGATCGAACCAGCGCTGTGGGATTCTGCGTGGATCCTTCACCGAAGGCACAGTGATGCAAACCACGAAGAATAAACCAGGAGAAAGGTGAGAAGGTTAGCGTGATCAGGGCTGGGACCAGCCACCGCTTCTGAGGCACTGGGTACGTGAGTTGCAGGTGACACGATGGCACATAACAACAACAACAAGAAGACTGAAAAGAAAGGGAGTGGAATGAAAACAGGGAACCCCGAGAGCAAGTAGGGAGAGTGCTGTTCCCGAGGCCACAAAACAAATCAGGTTTGGATTGCTGAACGGGAAACTAACAAGTTCTACATATTTCCCCCCAAATTACAGTTTAAAAAGGTGGATAAAACTATAGCAAAAAACCAACTCTAAGGAACTTGGATGCTGACAACTTCATGTTTGTTTTGTGATGTCCTTTCTGGAAGTTTAACTTTTCACCTGGAGCTTCTGGTGCTTTTAATACAAACAAGTCCCTTTGTGAGTCAACCTCCCTCCAGCCCCCCTTTTGACTATAAAAAGAGAACTCAGCTAACGCTAAGAATCCTGATTAATAGTGCTGTTGCAAAAGGAAGACCTTCACTATGACTTTCAATGAAGTCTCAATATTTTTCCAGCACTGCAATTCGGTTGATTGTCTGCTTTTTCAATGACAAAGATTTCCTCCCCCTCCCAAGATGACAGGTCTGGGTTTTCGGTGTATATATGAAAATAAAGAATAACAGGGTTTTTTAAAAAGGCCTCAATAGGAAAATATTTTTGGATAATTTCTTTCTCATTTATCTTTCAAACTTAGAGCAGCAGAACCAAGCCAAGGATAAATAATGCTTTACCTGATCCCAACAGTAATGGCTACACTCGTTGTTTTAATGTAAGAAAACAGAATTCTATGCTAATGGGCATGCGTGTGGGACAGAGAGTGGGAGCAGACTGTTTCTCGGGTAGAACAACTACAGGAAATTCTGCTAAAATAAAATTTAAGTGATACACATATTGCTCGAGGATTTTAAATTTTAGTTCTTTTGTACTCTCTTATTGTATGTTGCCTTTCTCATCATAGTTTCCTTTTTAGCTAATCTCTTTTTTATTAATTTAAAAATGTGTTTTTAATGAAGGCTTACACACAGCTTAGACTCCCATGACCCAATTCCTACACAAGCTGTTCGGGGACCCTGGTTATACTTTTCATAATTTGTGAATATTCTCATTTGCATTCTGCTTGTCCTGTCTCCATTTATCTAGTCTCCCTGCCCCTCTACTGTCTTATCTCTGTTTTCAAGTCTTTGTTGACCACTTGGTCTCACATAGATGATTTTTTTTAAAAGGAGCACAGTAGTCAGGAAAGTTCGTTAGGCCAGTTTGTTACTTAGTGACAGGTGACCACAAGGGTTAGTTTCAGCTGGAGGTTTCAAGAATGTGTCAGAGCAATAGTGTTGGGGAATGCTCCAGGCCCAAGCAGCCCAGGAAGCTGGGGTTAGTGTGAATGTATTTTTTTTTCCTGGTAGAAGAAGCCAAGGTCTCATTAACCCAATCTTCTTTTAAAATAAGAAAATGATATTCATTGGGCACTTGTCTTCTGAGAAAGTCTGAGTAAGACAGCTATGTGCAAACCTAGCATAATGCTGTGAGGCGCTGAGAATTCCTTTAGTGCACGCCAAGGAGGGGGAGGTGAGTCAATGGGCAAATTGTATCCTGGGTTCCTTTGCGGGAAGACGGCCCCCTCTGTGCTCCCACCCTCACTTAGCATGTTTGTAAGAGTCACACAAAGTCCCAGCGGCCTTGGGTACACACCCATTTGGGGCAAGCAGTGGGCCTCCTGCTGGCAGAGGCCGAGGTTCACCCTAGAGGTCCATGCCAGGCCTCGTTCTCATGAGGAGATGCCTAACTTGGCTCTGAGGCCCCCACAGCAAAGAGACAAGAAGAAAAAGAGTCCCCCCACCTTGCCTTTCCCTCCAGGAATGCCTGGAGCATTGTAAGTACTTCTCTTTAAGGAAACCAGGTCCAAACGGCCCCGCTGGCTTCACCTTGGAGCCCTCAGCAGCCTGCAGGCCATTCCCGTCGGGCAGAGCGGCGCCGTAGGCTGCCATCCTGGTGCTGTAGGAATGGGGGTCAGCCGGTGAGGCGTCACAGGCCATGGCTAGCGACTCCATGTGGTTGGCGTCCTCTGAGGGGGACAGGGTCATCATCTGCGGAGAGAGGAGAGGGGCCGTGCATGGTGGGCACATGCCTGCTCTTCAGAAACTCCAGCCGTGTCCACGGTGAGGCGCAGCCACGTGCCCCGGTGCTGGCTGATGGGTGTAAACTTTATATCTGACTTCTGCTGTCTAGCCTGTTCCGACGCACAGTGTCCTGTGTGACGGAGGAAAGCTGCCCTACAGTCAACTTTCAGCAACAGATGGCCAGGTCAGGGCTGCTGAGTGGGCTAGAACCGCTGACCCTCTACTTAGCAGCCAAGAGGTTGGCCTCTGTGCTACCAGGGCCATTCGGAACATTTCCCCAGCACAGGACTTTATGTTCAGTAGCTGCTGTCTATTAACGTGAGGTGTCTGTCCCATTTCAGATGGCTGGAAAATGCAGGGGAGAAAAAGAAAACCCCACTGGAAAAAAAATCCGGGGGGTGGGGTGGGGACCAGCCTGCAGTAACAAACACCTGCCCCCGTACGTGTTTACGTCAGCAAATGATGCAAAATGGCTGAGATGCTGGGGGAGGTGGGGGCGAGGTGGGGTTCCGTGACCCCAAAGGCCCCAGGACCTGCCTCCGTGCCCGGGGACAGCCCCTACTCACGAGGTCTGCGTGCTCCAGGAGCTGGCCCTCCTCCTCCGACGACTCGTCCGAGTCCTCAGCGTTCATCTTGCTGAGGCTGGGCGTGCCCCCTGCCAGCTGGCGCTGGTCCAGCTGCATGTCACACTTGTCCAGGCTGTCCAGTGAGCGTCGGCGCACGCCCCAGTTGAAGTTGTCCATGCTCTCACCCTGCAACGACATGCCGGCCACTCGGTCCCTGCACCTCTCCTGGCCCCTCCACTGCTCCGTCCACACTCGGTCCCCGTGCCCTGTCCTGGCCCCTGACTGCTCCGTCCACACTCAGTCCCTGAATTCTGTCCTGGCCCCTGACTGCTCCGTCCACACTCAGTCCCTGAATCCTGGCCTCACCCCTGACTGCTCTGTCCATACTCAGTCCCTGTGCTGTGCCTGGGCCTCTCAGCCTCTTGGTCCCTGAGCTCAGGTCCCTTGGACACTTCTCACTGGGAGCCCTCACCACCCCAGGGCCCAGAACTGTGTACACAGATGTGAAAATGGACCTGTTGGGTGGTTCTGACCGGGAGCCACCCTGGGGGATGGAGTCCAACTCCCCACAGGGTCTCCCGGGCTGCAATCTGCCTGGGAAGGAGCCCTGGCGGGGCAGCCTGCTGTGTGAGGTGGCCTCACCTGGAACCTCCCTGGACTACCTGGACCCCTGACCCCTACTGCTCTCCTTGGATGATGTCCTTGATGACCTCAGGGAACTGGGGCCATTCTGACTTGTTTCCTGAGTTATGTGTTGATGACCCAGACCTGGTAGTACAGTGTGTTATGTGTGGGCTGTGGACTGAAGGTTCAGAAGTTCAAATCCACGAGAAAGAAGAGGTAGACTCCTCCCATAAAGGTTCACTGCCTTGCAAAGCTGACTTGAGGCTAACTGGGGCCAGACGGGGTTTAGAAACCTGACTCGGGGTGCCCAGGGCCGGAGGAGAGGGTTTGGAAAGCCGACTGGGGGGGTCCCTGGGGCTGGAGGGGGTTTGGAAACCCAACTGGGGGTGCCTGGGGCTGGAGAGGATTTGGAAAGCCAACCGGGGGTGCCCAGGGTTGGGAAGGGTTTGGAAACCTGACTCGGGGTGCCTGGGGTGGGAGAGGGTTTGGAAAGCTTTATGGGAGCCAAGTGTGAGCCCTTTCTCCTGAAGTCCAGCTGGTGGTTTTGAACCTCCAACCTTTCTGCAAGTAGCCGGCTGCTTAACCCATCGCATCACTAGGATCCCCTGACACAAACACAGAAAGTGTCCTTGGAAGAGTGGTCAGGTCATGTGATTCCTTAGAAGAGTAGTCAGATCACCTCTTTTAAAAGTCAGTTTTGTGAAATTCTAGATCGTGATCATCCATCCCCCTCCCCCCATCTTCCTGAGAAGTCAGTACAAAAAGGCCCACTGATGTTAAAAACCAGTGGAAAGGGCCCCTCATCTACACCTTCCAGGGCCCAGTGCTGTGCCTGCAGGGGAACTGAGGGGGGTGAGGTGGGAGCACATGGCCAGGGCTCGGGCATCAGCAGGGGGACAGGAGGTGAGGCCGGCTTTGGCCACAGCGGTTTCCATGGAGAAGGACAGAGGAGCTAACCCAAGGCCAGGGCAGCTGGAGCTCACCCCCAGGGTGAGAGAGAGGCCACTGACTCCGCGCCCATACTGCCAGCTAGGCTGTTCCTAATTCAACTGCAAACTGGGCTTTGTAAGGACTATTATCCCCTGAAAGTCTCAAGAATGTGGGGGGAACAGCTCTACAGTCACCACATGGCTTAGCTCCTGCTACCACCTCCACGTCCTCAACCAGAGACCTGTGGGCAGAGCGGGGCTGCCTCATGGCGTCCTTGGGGCTGCCTCACGCGCCCTCGGGCCTGGATGCCTCACAGAGTCCTCGGGGCTGCGTCACGCGCCCTCGGGCCTGCCCTGCTCACGGAAGACGATAGTCACAGCGGCTCCCTCGGAGCAGCTTCTGGATTCAAATCACCAGCCTTTGTGTTAGCAGCCTAGAGCTTGACGGTCACAGCATCCCAAACAGACTAATCGGACTTCCAGGCGGTGGTTCCACCTCCCAGGACCCTGCAGGCAGAGCAGAGCTGCCCCTCACGGTCTCCAAGGCGACCGTCTCTGCAGAAGCCACTGCCACATATTTCTCCTTCGGAGCAACCGATGGGCTCCAACCGTGGACTAACACGGAACCCTCCACACCTCCCAGACTCTGCAGAGACAGCCCCAGATGCTGGGAAAGAAAGGATGGGAAGCAGAGATGGTGTGTCCATACATGCAAATTACAGATTTTCACTGTAATAAAAGGATTTTACAGCAAAACCAAGTTCCTTGGGCAAATGCCTATTCAGAAATTATAAACTTCCAATGGTATCAGACTGCCGCATTCTCTCCTTGAAGAGACAGAAGCACACAGCCTGAGAGGCAGGTGTGCGGTCATTTTGGGGTGCGATAGACTCAGTCCAGCTCCTCACTACGCCCTGCACGCACAGGTGGACCAAGCCCAGCCCGGCCCTGTGCAGTCTCACCCTCAGCTGTGTCCACCGTGTGGGCACCATGCCAGTCCACCTCACCAACGGGCTTCTGCTCTCTTTCCCTGACCCTCTCCTTTACCAAGCATGATGCCCCTCTCCAGGCACTGGCCCCTCTGGATAACATACCCAAAATACTTGTGATGAAAAAAAATTCAAATTTAGCCTTTTTAAAAGATTTGTAGTCAAGAGTAGGGAGAAAAAAATCCCCCAAACAAAACAACAAAACCCCCAACCTTTTCCATCACACACCCCTGCCCGGGCATGCGCACAAAGACCAGCACACACGCAGATGCCCGGAGGAGTGGGGAGGCAGCCACCACACTGTTAAACGTCTGCAATGATGCAAAACTTAGGAGCATATCAGAGTCAAAACAGCATTGACTTACCTGAAGTTCCTGGGTAGCAGAAAACAGACAGAGAGACAAATAAAGAATCTATTTAAAATGATGACATTAAAGAGAGTCACATTTTTATCTTAAATGCCCTAAGTGTTAGCTTGCTGTTAACAAACAGGCCTAGTAGACATTTAAGTAGATGCCCCTTTAAAAATAAAGACACAGCGCCCCAAAGGGGGAAAAGCCAGGTCAGCAGCAAGCATCTGAAAAATCCCGGCGTCCTCTTAGTGCCCGCTGGGCCGGGCCACAGCCATCAACGCCATCTCTGAGATATCTTTCCACTTCAGCGACAACTTCGGTCTTCACAACACACATCCCTCCACCCCCAAATGCCAAAAGAATCTGTTTATGAGGGAACTGTTAAACGCTCTGGGGAATGCAGTGCTGGTCATGAGCCAGGGCAGAAAGTGTCACCTCTGATGCTGCTTCTAACACTAAGAGCGCAATTCACAGCAACGTCACAGCACCTGAGCGATTCTGGAAAGTTCCAGGGCAACTCCTTACAGAGAGAATTCAAGACATTCTGAAGCTATTTCACCCAAGGGTGTGTAGTCTTTCCCGGCTCATACAACCCTGTGTGGCCGACTGAAACCGCCTCAGGGGCTCCCTAGGCTGTCGCCCGTGGAGGGGCCCTGTGGTGTGGCCCTCTACGGGCTGGACTGTGAGCTGAAAGGCCAGTGGTTCGGATCCACTAGCCACTCCAGGGGAGAAAGGTGAGGCTGTCTGACCCTGTCAGGATTGACTGCCTTGGAGAGCCGACAGAGGGGCCTCTTACATCAGAATGGCCAGATCAGCTGTGGGTCTGGGTTTAATCTCGCTCAGCATCGGGCATGTACGCGCATGGTTACCGCTGAGAAGGGCTGGGGGTCTGAGTCAGCCTGGGGCACCTCAGGAGAAACCTGGCTGTGGGCTCCTGGAAGGCCAGGCACAGAAGCCCCGAGGGGCTTTGATCCTGAGACCACACACATTGTCTAGCTGGGCGTCCCTTCCATCGACTTCCTGTTGTGGAGTGGAACCTGGCTTAGCTCAGGGCTGAGGACGGAACTATGGACAGAGGCCTGCTCCACGGGACCTTCAAGGCCGCACCTCACAGGAGCTGACCACCTCCTCCTGTGGCGGGCTGGTGGGCCAGCAGCAGAGTTCTTAACCAATGCACCACCAGGGCTCCCCTCACTTGTCCCGGCATCTGGTCCATTCCAACTCACAGCGGGCCTGTAGGACTGACCCCGTGTGGCTGAGTGGAACTGCCCACGGGGTCCCCAAGGCCACAGTCCTGCGCATGCAGATGGTAGCATCTTTCTCCTAGGCGGCAGCTGCTGGGTTCGAACCTCTGACCTGCAGTTAGGAGCTGAGTGCTTTAACCCCTGAGCCACAAGGGCTCCTCCTCGCCCTTTTAAAGCTCTCTGCATGATGATGAGTGGGTGGGGTGTGGGAGGGATAATTTCCAAACCATGACTCATAACTTGGGCATCCTGTTAAGTCCATCATTCAAAATAAACACTTACAAGCTAGGACCTACTGGTTGGGACTTGAATTGCGATGGGCTGATGTCTGGGTGGGAAGCTGGAGCACTGTGCGCCCTGTTTATTCATAGCCCTCCTGATTTCAGCCCAGACGACCCCCAGCACCACAGCCCATGGAGTCTCCCTACAGCATGGCAGGTGAGCTTGAGGGTTACCAAGCCAGGGACTGTCCAAAGGGTTGGACAGGTGCTGGGCACCCGGCAGCCTCAGGACACACACACACACACACACTCTCTCTCTCTCTCTCCCCCCCTCTTTTCTCTCCCTCTCGCCCCCACTCTCTGTCACATACACACACTCACTCAGAATGGTCACTCCCCTGGAGGCCTCCCCAGGCAGGATGGGTGTGGTCCGCAGCAGAAGCCACTGCAATGGGCCCCCCGAGGAAGTACTCTCAGGACAGAGCCCCTAGCAGAGGACCCGACCACCAGGACCTGCAGGCCCCCAGCTCCAGGCCTCAGCTAGCAGCTGCCACTGCCGAGGGCGCGTGCTCGGGGACACCCCTACCTCCCCGTCCTCCAGCTCCACGTCCAGGAAGTCGAAGTCCCGGAAGACCCTGAACTGCTGCTCGCTATTGGCGTCGTCTGCGTTGTCCTGGTCCCTGGCGCCGTCCTCCGAGGACACGAGGCTCACCTGGTGCTCCAGCAGCTCCGCGTCCCCGCACGATGAGAAGATCACCTGGAGGGACAGGAACGGCCCTGAGCCGCAGCCCCACACCCCCCGCGCCCTGGGCTCCCGGGGGTATTTTTAGCCTGCTCCCTGGTTGTTTATGTTGGACAGATGCCCTGGACTCTGAGACGGGCCAAGACGCAAGCTCTCACCCTGAAAGAGAGGGCTCAGGGTGCAGTGCAGCCTCCGAACCCACCTCTGTGTGTGTGTGTGAAACAATTAAGCATGTCTACACATACACATTGGAACAGGCGGAAAACTTTCCCATTGTTTCTGAACTAAGGCAGGCACACACACACACACACACACACACACACCCACCCTTTTCCATTGTCTCTGATTAAGGCTGAAAATGCTAACACATACACACATACACTCTCACCACATTCTGTATGAATAATACTTTCAGAGCTATTGCTACCGGGACGTGTTTTGCAGGGTGACTTGTGAGGGCAGGAAGTGAACCCTTCCCGTGGTAAACCAGGAGCCGAGTCAAGACTGAGTCAGGCTGAGATGGAGAATTCCACAGCGCAGCTCAGAGCGGTACTCAGGATTCAAACCCATGCCCTGCCCGTCGGTCCACACAACAAAACAACACAACCACCTCTCCCTCCCCTCAAGCAGACAGCACAACAAAAAAGAAACAGTTCTAGAAATCTTGTTAATCTAGAAACGTATGTTAATATTCTACAAACTCAGCTTCTATTTTTAATGATTTGGTTTTTCTTAAACTGGGGAATTTGAAAGAACTTTGTGGAGATAATAAATTGCACACAAGCCCGAATGCTTTGCCACCAGCGCCTGCTGGGCACACCCCATGCTGAAAGGCCAGCCCTGCCCTCGGGCCTTCAGGTCAGTTCTGACCCACAGGACGGGATGCTGAGTTTAGCTGTCAACTCTGGGTGAAGGGAGGGCACTGTAGTGTGATAGCCATCTCTCTATGGGGGCATAGTTCCTCCTGAAAACCCGATGGAGGGTCAGCTAGGAGTACATCTGACTTGATGGCACACAACAATAACGTTTCAACCAAACGTGGCATCTCTTGGTGGTTTGAATCCATTCATAGTGACTTCTTGAGAGAAGGATAGTCTCCTCTCTTGAAATTTACAGCCTCTGAGGAGGCTTGGCTATGAGCAGCTTCCAACTCCAGGGCGATGAATGTGCTTATTTCCCTGGGCAGTTCTACTACTAACCCAGGGCCACGCCTCTCTGCCAGTGAGTTCACCAGCCACTCTGTGGGAGGAAGACCAGGCCCCACGGACGCTCCCATAAACATCACAGTCCTGGAAACCCAACAGGGCAGTTCTGCTGGGCCCTACAAGGTCGCTGAGGGCCGGACTATCTCAGTGGAACTGGGTTTAGTTTGGTCTAGAGGATTTCATTTAGGAGGCCTGCTGGTGTAGTGGGTTAGATTGTGGGCTGCTACCTGCAAGGTCAGAGGTTTGAGCCCACCAGTTGTTATTTGATGTGCGTTTAGAGCTAAATTACACTGAAAAGGCAGGTATTTTACACAGGTGTATGCTGTTATACGCCATCGAGCTGGAATCAACTTATGGTTGACCGTGTAGAGGGTTTTCAGAGGCTATAAATGACCAGGAAGAGACTGCCCATCTTTCTCCCTTGGAGCAAGTGGTGGATTCGAACTGCCCACCTTTGAGTTTGCACAGCAGCTCCTCACCACTAAGACACCAGAGCTCCTCGCATATTGCATGTAGCAGGGAAGTAGCTATGAATTCCTTTCAGGGAAGTCTAGGGGGCATGCAGAACAGAGCTTTATGTGTCAGGCTGCCCACTGAAAGGCCAATGGTTCAAATCCATCAGCACCTCCCCAGGAGAAGAATGGGCATCCTTCTGTAAACATTTACAGGTGGAAACCCGGGGGAGGTTGCTATGAATCGGAACAGACGTGGCGGCCACTGGCTTGGCTTGGTTTTTGGACACTGATGGGCTGTTATGTGCTGTCCAGTCGCCTGTGACCTATAGCGACCCCATGAACAGCAACTCGGAAGCCTGCCCTGTCCTGACCCAGTCTCGCTAATCTGACACAGCGACCCCCATTGCCCCAGTCACTGTATCAGTCTTACTCGGGACCTTCCTGTCCTGCACTGTCCGTCCACCCTTCATGCTTATGAAGAATGTAATAAACTGAAAACGAAAAAGCCCCGAACAAGTTATTCACCAACTGGAGGAAACGGGGGACCCACGCCTCAGCTCACCGATGGGTTCTTGCTGAGTCCGACTTCTTGTCCACACAGAGAGAGGACGTGCACCAGCTTCTCCTTGGTCCTCTTCTGGAAGACACACAGGCAGGATTAATCAGGGGCGTCGATGGAGGCCCCTTCCCAGGGGTGCCACCACCCAGACGCTGTGGCTGAGTGCTCGGGACTCAGAATGTGGCCAGTGCCAGTGGAGGCACAGGACACCCCCACTCTGAACACTGTGTAAACTGATAGAAAGCAAAGATCTTAGAACTAATCCCTTATACTAATTGCATGCTAATATGACAAAACTTTGATTAGTTTAATGAGATCTATTGAAATGAATCTTTAAAGGTGTATTTTTTAATTTGGTTTGCTTACAAAGTTCGTCTCCATTGTTTTCCACACTGTTCTTCATTCACATCGTGTTTCATACAATCATTCTCATGCATTAGGTTTTATAAAATTAATCACCATTAGACCCATAACTTCCCTGTCTTTTCACCTGGATCCTTCCCATTTCCTTCCCCTCTGCCTCCATCCACCAAACTGTTCAAGGCTGTGGTTTTGTCCCATCTACCCTCAGCCCTCACCCCCTTGAGTTCCCACACATGTAGTTATCCTTCTATTTTTTACAATGTGTATTTTTGTTCATTCATTTTCCACAGTTAACTGAATGCCAACAAGGGGCATGGCAGCTCCATGCTTCTTTTCTTTTCGACTTTGTATTGTGACCTGGGTGAAAATGTATGAAGCGAATGGATTTCCAGTCAATGTTTCATACGTGTTTCATGGCACTGATTATAATTCCCACAAGGTCACAGCACTCTTCCACTTCCACCCTGTGTTTCCAATTTTCATTCCTCCTTCTTTCCTCCTGCTTCCTGCCTCCTGAGATTGGTCCCTGGACGCATGTGGCCTACTGATCTCAGGCACAGGGGCTCCAAGGGGCGTGTGCCTCCCTGGTGGCAACTGCTCAGAAGAAGAGTCCTTTGCCAAAGGTGACTACTCGGATGTTCCAAGTGAAGCTCACATTATCTCTCTCAAGACCAGGATGGTGCTGCCCCAGGTGGCTCCTCAAAACACCCCCATAAAAATCCCTAAACCGACATCCATGAGAAAACCAGCTTCACTGCCTTGAACGGGTCCTGACTCTTAGCTGTTGTGCAGCACAGAGAGCTGCCCCACAGGGGCCCCAAGGCTGCAAACCCACATGCAGCAGATCTCCACATCTTTCTCCCATGCAGCAGCTCGTGGGTGCAAACCACCAACCTTACGGCCGGTATCTAAGCGCTTTAACTACAGTGCCACCAGGCGGTCTTTCGCATTATCCTCACACCAAAAGCTCCACTGTTGCCACGTCGATCCCCACGGTGACCCTCCACTGGCTTTCCCAGGCTGTAAGTCCTAACAGGAGAGCACAGCTCAGTCTTCTCCCACAGCAAGTGGTGGATTCAAACTCCCAACATTTTGGTTAGCACCCCGACATTTACCCACTCCCCTCCATAGGCGCGTGGCCATGTGCCATCTCCGTGTTGGCTCTCTTAACTTTTGGGCAGGACTGGAGTGGACAGCTTATGGAGTGGGCTGGCTTCCCGTTCTGTTACGGTGTAACAGCGGCCTTCCCACTCCATCCCTGTGGTCACTGTTTCCACCACTCCTTCTTCCCAATCTCTTCCTCTTCTCTGGGTCGGTGCTGCTGATTTGGTTTTGTATGGCTGTCTGTTGTAAGGGCTGTGGACCCTCCCAGTGTATTGTTTGTCCCTCAGGCCAGTCCACTGCTTGGCTAGAAGTTGATCTGGGGATGAGGCCAGTTCTGGGCCTGCAGGGTGACTATGGGCCACAGTGGTGGGGCTCTGTCAGTGTCCCTCACACCAGTGAACCTGGTCCATCACTGGCTGATCTGGGGAGAAGCACACCTGGCCTGGCTCCCACATCCATCACCTTATCCTGGAGGCTCTGCTGGCCTCTGCGGCATCACAGGTCTCTTCTGACAGTGCACATGAGGTGACTGGCTGGGACTCGAACCTATGTCTGCTGAGATGGGAGGTGCACACTTTACCACTGACCCACTGAGGCCTCTGCTGCTCAATAGTTCCCTGCAGTCCCCTTCCAAAGGGCACTCAGGTGGCTGAGTGGTAACAAGCTGTGCTGCCAACCCAAAGGCTTGTGGTTCGAATCCACCAGGTGGTCTGTAGGAGAAGGATGGGCAGTTTCCTCCTGTGAGCTTAATTGCTTCTGAAAACCCACTGCAGGGTCAGCTATGGACGGGTTCTGACTTGATGATACACAACCACAACAATAATCCCTCTGACAAGTTTCATTCAAGTCCAGGATCTCTACCTGAGAATACTGAGGCCGTTTCCAGCTCACAGGAACCAGGACGTTGGAGTTGGAGCCTGACGAGGTGGAGGACGTGCTCCGGGTGACAGCCATGGCCCTGGCCTTGCCATCGCGCCCTGAAGAATCCTGCAGCTCATCGTACCGGCGCCCGATGACAGGAGTCTGGAGGTGGAACACACACAACTCTTCTGTCTCATGCACTGTGCTGCGTATTGGGGACTTCTGGTCAGAGGCACCCCAGACCACCTCTGTTTACATCTGTTTACATCTACAGAACCAAAGACACACCCTCTCAACAGTTTCCACACAGACCATGCAGTGGCCCTGGTTCCGCTCTCACGGTGCCTCCGTTCCCAGGTCCTCCCTCAGCTCCATGCGCTCCCTCCCACCTTTGGAGTGGCCTTAGACTGAATCACACAGATGATTCTTTAAAGGAGCACAATGCTCAAAGAAGATACATTTTGACAATTAAAAAATAATGTCAAAGATGACTTCAGGGGATAGTTTTAGTCCAAGGTTTAAAAGCTATCTTAGGGAAACCGTTTTGGAGACTCAACAAACCTCAATGGCTCCAGAATGTCAAAATCAGAAGTCCTGTTCCATATTCCTTCCCTTTTGACTACTATTATATTAATCTTTTATTTGTCCTTGATTAAAACAAGTATCCCTTTTGGAATGAAACACTGGTATTTAACTCAGTGTTGCAAATGGGCTAATTCTTCTGATTTCAAACATACACTCTAATTAAGTGCAGCCTCATCACGTCTCCCCGACTTGTCATCAGCTGAGAATAAGTCGAAGTCACTGGTTTACAGGTCGCCGATGAGGATTGAAAGCCAAATGCTCAGGAAAGAGAAAGAAGAGTCTGCTTTCAGATGCGTAAGGTTGGAGACGGTTTGTTATCAGACCCGTCACTCTTCCCAACCTTGAGTCAGCAACTATTACGTGTTCTCAATTACTAAACATTTATCTAAATGGTGGTCCTTGTTGGAAAAAAGAAACTCAAATCAAAGATCCACATACATTTTAAAAAACCCCACAAAAGCAGGTATCACGATGGCAGAAAAAAGCCATCTCATTCTGGATATTAGGAGAAAATGTCAGAGAGGTCTAGGGTGTCAGTGAAAACCCTCCCTGATATAACCCCAAGGATACCTCGCTTTGCACGCCTCACAGACCTGGTGGCCTCAGAAATGGAAGGTCAGGGACCACCCCATGCCGTGGCGAGCCTACTGGTGCCACATTCCCGTGCCACGGTGAATCTACTGGGGCCACATTCCTGTGCCACGGTGAATCTACTGGGGCCACATTCCTCTGCCACGGTGAGTCTACTGGGGCCACATTCCCAGCAGCATGTGCTCATGTGTCTCCTAGGACCATTTCCGTTTTTGATCTCCCTATTGCATTCTTGAAGGCCAGGGCACAACACAGACAGAACTCTGACATGAATCGGGAAACCAAAACCGCCCAGTGTGACTGGCTGTACCGTGTGCTCGCCTCCCTGAGGTCTGGAAGCACACCTGTGAGCTCTGAGGCCTGCCTGTCCCCAGCAGTGCAGCTCAGCACCATGGAGCGATCGGGCCTGCTCCTTCTGTGAGCTGATTTGCTCCTCAGTCCTGAAAGTGCCCGGTTCGGGCCAGCCGCTGGCCAGAAGGCAGCAGTTAGAGCCTGCATGCACCATAGGTGCAGCGGCTTCTGCTTTAGGGGGCTTGAGCCCAGTGGCTAACAGAGAGATTCAGGCAGTGAGGCTTCACACCTTCAGCCAAATGAACTCAGCACCAGTGCCCCTGGCTGGGAGGGAGCTCTTGTCGCCAAGGGCAAGGAGCTGCACCGTCGACCTGAAGGTATGCAGTTCAAACCCAGCTGCTCTGCCAGAGGAAGTTGGGCCATCTTCTCCTGTGTATTTTACTGCCTCTGACATTCCGCTGGAGGGTCAGCTATGGCTTGGTTCCTACTCAGTGGTACACAACAACAACAGCTACTCCTGCCCAGCTGCCCGGCGGGTACAGTGCCCGGCTCATCAAAGCTGCTGAAAGGTTAGTGATTTGAACTCCCCTGCTGCTCACAGGAGAGAGTGAGGGCCGTCTGCCCAGGTACAGACAACGGTCTGAGACCTCCCTGGAGCAGTTCCGCCCTGCCAGGTCACAAACAGGCAGAATAACTGGTGATGAGCTAGGACTGGGGTACCCAGGGCTGCCAAGGGGATGCTGATCCCGGCAGCTCCATGTGTGGGGGTGCAGAGCTGGGCTCCTCAGGGTTCCAGCAGCTGATTTCTGGGAAGATGGCCCGGACTTGCTCTGAGCAAATCTCAACTCCAGCCTCGCGCATGTGAAGAGCCACTTCAATGTGTGGTCATAAGCAAATGAAATGACATGCACACCTTTAAGTCGCTTGCAGGACGTGACCCTGGAACAGCTGGAAACGGGCTTCCCAGGCCTAGGGTAGCCACTGGGAGTGTTAACTGTACCCTCTGAGGGCTCCAGACTGGGCCTTAAAACCCACCACTGCTGAGCCCGTTCAAACGCATGGGGACTGTCCGGCCAGGCTTTTGATGCGAAGAGACTCTTTCTCTCACAGAGCTGCTAGTGGATTTGAACCATTGACCTTTCAGTTAGCAGACCACCACTTAACATGCTACACTACCAGGGCTGTAGAAGTCTTCATTTCATTCAAAATTGTGATTTGAAAGTATTCAAAGAAATTGGTTTTTCATTTGTTACTTACAGTGTTTTGTCCCCTCATCTCTCCCCAATCTCCCCTGCCCCCTGCCCCAAGTCTTCATTGTTAACAAACATTGAAAGAGCTGGTTTTGTTTCCCCAGACAAGGACCACGCGCCCCAGACACCACAGGCCCCGGCAGCTCTCGGCAGTGTGTAACGCAGGTCAGCACCTCTGAGATATCGAAGTGAAAGTCCAGCGTCTTCCCGGGCAGCTCCTTGGACGCGCTGGTCCACACGTGGTGGATCTCAATCTTGGCCAGGTCGCTGTGCTGGTAGGTGGGCAGCACCAGGCTGGCGGACCGAGAGACCACCAGCTTCAGGATATTGAGGGCTTCTCTCCAGTGGACGCTCTGCGGGCAGGAAGGAAACACGGCCCCGTTAGATTTCTCACACACACCGCTGTGGGGCAGATTCCCGCTTATGGAGACCCTGGAGGACAGAGGACGTCTGCCCCGGGGCTTCTGAGACGTCACCTGTACAGGAACAGGCCACCTCACCTGTCTCTGGTGGAGCAGCTGGTGGGTTCAAACCACCAGCCTTGAAGCTAGCAGACCAGTGTTTTAACCACTATACTAGCAATGCCCTTAACTTCTTAATGAGTCAGAATTCACTTCTTTAAAACAACACGGGCGCCCAGGCCCCTGAGCTGTGACCCTCCTGGACGCCGAGGGAGAAGTATGAGACCTTCTAGGGCCAGCAGGGCCTGCCCTCCCGAGAGCACGGACTTCCAGCCTGGGAAACCTGAGCAGAAAAACTCACGCTTGTTAAAGTAAACAAAACAGAACTGGGAATTCCCTGACAAAGAAAAGGCACCAAGAAGAAAAGACAATTTGTATACAAGAGATGCTACATTTAGCAAACAAGACACTTTTAAAAAATGACCAAACTTACATTAAAATAAATACAGATTTTAAAAGAACAAGGTGCCATTTTTGGCAATTCGGCATTCTCTAAATCTTGGAGGAAAATAGAAATCCCACCTGTTTTATGCACCGACAGCTTGGTTGTGGGTACATGAAGCAGAACTGCCCATGGGGTTTCCCAAGGGGTGGGCTTTGAGTGTTGTATGTAGTTGATAAGAAAGCCGCATGTTGTTTTGTTTTTTTTAAAGTAGGTGTTTTTGTTTAATATTATTTCCTCAAAACTTTTTTCTTTTGACTTGGGTGAAAGGTTCCAGTGATCCGTCCCCTCACGTTTGTTTCCAGACACCGACTGTAACCCCACCTGCAGCAGCATATTCCCCTTTCCCCCCTGTGTCTCCTGTTTCCACCCGTCCTTTCCTCTCTTCCTGCCTCCTGCTTTCTCCTTAGGAAACAATGTGATGCAGTGCTGTGTGGTGGGTGCTGTAAGGACTGAGACCCGTCCAGTGCGCAGGGATCTCTCTAGGTCCCTCAGAAGATTGCAAGCTCAGCCTGGCGGTGGATCCAGTTCCAGCCTGGAGGGTGTCAAAGGGTCATCGTCTGTCAGACTCAAGATCCTGGTGTTGATGGGACTTTGAGTTCTGTCCCACCTTCCTGTCACACCGGACAGGGGACTGTGATCCCTTTCAGGGCAGTGAGGAGCCGTGGTGGGCACTGTCCAGTTCTCATCTCAGGTCAGGAGCAGATCACCTGGCCTTTCTCCCTGGGCGCCCCTGGCCCAGGCGGGGTCCCCCTGGGGGCCTTTTGGGTGCTTCCTGTCAGCAGCTGAGAGTTTAACTCTTGCCTCTCAGGGCCTCTGAGTCTTCTCTCACTCCTCCCCCAGTTCCCAGCCTTCCTCATCTCGGTCCCCTGCCCCCAGCCTCTGGATCTTTAACCATCGCTGTCCTGGTGTCTGTCTCTCTCCTGCTGTGCACCGTCTCTCAGCCCTCAGGAGCCCAGCTGACACCCGTGCTCACGTGAAGGTGCTCCCGCATGTTAGGGACACTCACCTGCACGTACTTCTCAATCGTCTTGAGGACTTCCACGTTGAACTGCTTCACGGGGATGCCCGACAGGTCGGCGTAGCTGAGCAGGCTGTAGATGACCTGAAGCAGGGACTGCTGCATGCTGGGGAGGCCTTTCTCCAGCAACTGGCCAGGCCGGGGGCAAAGACAGGTCGGTCAGCGGGACGGGATGGTGGGCCAGACCAGGCCCCAACCTGAACCCAACCCATTGCCCCCAGCGGCCCTGGCCCCCAGCCACTGCAGAGGGTGGAGCAGAACTGCCCGAGCCTGTCAGAAGGGGTCACCGCGCCAGCTGACCAGCTGACCGCCTTATCTTTAACCTCAAGAGCAGCTGGTGGGTCTGAACTGCTGACCTTTCAATCAGCATCCAGGTACTTGAACCCCTGTGCCACCAGGCTCTTTCATGCAGGAAAACCCAAACCTGCCATGCCTGTCGGGCTACAATTTCCCAAGGTCGTTCTCACAGGTGGGTGTCACCCACTCAGTCTGAACCCTGTGACCGAGGACTGCTCTATGGGCTTTCTGGGCGGTCACCCCAGGAGACACAACGCTGGTCCTTCGGCTGCGGAAGGAGCTCTGGGAGGGACCCCAGGCAGCTGTGCTGCTCGCCCAGAGCCAGGCTTGGCTGGGGGTTCGAGTCCACCAGCTCGTTGGAGGAAGCTGGCTGAGCTTCTCCTGTGTGATTCACAGCCCTGGGCACCCAGTGGACTGTACTCAGCTTCACACCCAGTCCAAGCATTAAACTGGAGGGAACATGCAGAAGGCAAGGGCAAGAAACTCCTGTCCCAGTTTTAAGAACCAAAATAAAAGGCAAGGGTGAGTTTATTTCAAAATGGGTGGATGCTTTCTTAGTTCAGAATAGACAATTCAACATACAGTAACCCCTTCACCTAGAGTTGTTAGATAGCATAGTGGGTAACATACTCGGCTGGTAACTGGAACATCGGTGGTTCGAATCCACCAGTAGTGCTGAGGGCGAAGGATAAGCCGTCTCCTCCAGTGAAGACTTAAGAGCCGTGAGTTGAAATCGACTCGAGGCCACTGGTCAGAGTGAGGAGGACAAGTTCTCCTTCCTCCTCCACGTGCTGCCAGGCACCAGCCTAGACCGAAAGGCTGTCATTTCAGAGCCAGAGGTGACGTGGCTGATGGCACAGAGGCCGAGCACTGGGCTCACACACAACAGTGACTGAGGACACGCAGGACCAGGCAGGGAGGCCTTCCGTTCTCCGTGGGGTCGCTACAGGTCGGGATGGACTCAGTGACACCTCCCAACAACAACATCCCTAGGCCCAAAGCGGCTGTGTCTCCTCCACTCGGGAAACTCGGGGTGCCGCAGTGTCTCTCCCAGCTAACGCCGTTGCCAGCGGCCTGCTGGGAGGATCTGAGAGGCTCTGCAGCCCGTCTCCACGTGTGGGATGCACGACCAGCACCTGGGCAGAGCTGACTGACTCCCGGCCGACCACGCTCTGAAGCTGGCTCCAGGGGCACAGGTCGCTCTCCTGAGTTCAGCTGGTGCGTCTGAACAGCCAACCTTCTCGTGAACATGCAGGAGGTGCTCAGCCACTGTTCCTGGGCACCTTTTTGCACCACTCAGGACACCGTGACATATGATACCCACCCGACCCGCTGCTGACAAGTGACTTGATGAGTGGACATAAACTTGTGTGCCCCTCTGCCAGGTCTGCAGCGCTGCAGATCTTTATAGGAGGAGACGGCCTCATCGTCCTTCCTCAGAGCAACTGCTGGACTCGAACCACTGACCTTTCAGCTCACAGCCCAACACACAGCGCACTGCACCCCGGGAGTCCTGAGAGTAGGCGTTCACTAAGCGGAAATGTCCAGTGCAACCATCGACTCTCCCCACGCACGCCGTGCGAGGCCTCACCCCTCCATAGCAGCTTACCTCGGCCAGGTAGGTGACCATGTTCAAGGTGACGTCGGCGTACGCTTCGTGCAGGTAGCGGCAGACGACGTTGACCCACGTGGCACAGTCCCTCGTGTAGCTGTGCGTTTTATACAGCGTCATGACGTGGGCGAGGTTGGACAGCTTGGGGTTCTTCTCCTCCAAGCAGACCTGGCAGAGAGGAAGCTCCGTGAGGGGCGGTGGCGAGGAGTGGAGAGTCCTGGCATCTGGGAGGCCCCTGGTGGTGCAGGGCTCAGCCGCTGACCCTAAGGCGGACGGTTCAGACCCACCAGGCGCTTCGAGGAAGAAGGTGCAGGCAGTCTGCCCTAAAGATGGCGGCCTTGACGCCCCCCCCCCCCCGCCGTGTTTGTCCTGCAGGACATGAGGGGTCCCTACAGAGACAGGATGGTGGGGATTGTTTTCACCTGGTTCGCACCTGAGCCCCTACCTGTGCTACCAGCAGGACAACTGGGTTTTACATGAACTCTACTGTTGTTGACTCATTTTGACCCATCAAACCCTCGGGGAAAGTAAACACCCCCATGGGGTCTCCAAGCTGTAAATCTTTACTGAACCAACCCTCTCACCTTCCTCCCAGAAAGGAGCTGGCGGATGCGAAGCGCTGACCTTCAGTTAGCAGCCGAGTGTGTCCGCCACTACTGACAGCCGTTGTTCATCTTATATTTTGTGCAAACTGTTGCCCTCACGGAGCTGGTACTTTCTGGCCAATATAAGGCCTCCCGTAATGCCAGTGTCCCTACAATCTGTGTCCCCATCTGAGGGGTGGATGTAATGTGTACCTGAGGGGCGTGGGCTGTAACGTGTCCCTGAGGGGCGTGGGGTCTCCCCTGCGACGAGTGTCCCTGTCTGAGCGGGGCTGTAACATGTACCCGAGGGGTGTGCGGTGACCCCATCTGAGGGGAACTATAACACGTACCTGAGCGATCCTTTCGGCCACATCCTTACAGAACTGGTTGGGATTTTCAAAATGCTGAATCAGCTGCGGCAGCAGACACAAGACATTCAGCGGAAAGCCTGCGTTGGAGGAGACAACAGAGAGGCTGAGGGGCGGGGAAGGTGCACATGGGCTGTTGCCAGCTGGGGACAGAGTGCAGCCTCCCTGGGGAGGGGACAGGGTCACTTCCAGACCCTGCAGTGCAGCCAGCATAGCACTGCACTGACCCGCGGAGCTGCGTGGCCTCTCAGTGTGGACGGAGCTGTGTTGACACCAGACTGTGCTCTAGTAAGTATTTAATACCTATAAAAAGGCCTGACACACGTGAGAACAACCAGCAGGGGCCGCAGAGACGCGCTGAGTCCCCCCTGCTGGAGGACCACCTTCCAGCTGCCAGTCCTGAGCACCAGCACGGTGAGCCGGGCCCCCTGCCCCGGTGCAGACTTCCCTCTGCCGAGTGCCGGGCAGACTTCCTGGGGCACATTAACACGATCTAACAAAATCCAGGGGGCACCAGCGAACACAGGCAGACACCAAGGGAATGGGGCTGTGACCATGTGGCCGCAACCCACTCAGCTCCGAGCAGAACCCACCCAATGGCTGCTCAGAACACAGACCTGGTGGGCCACTCCATAAAGACTGAATCTGTGGGTGTTGTCAGTACAGACTCTGAGCGCCCCATGAGCTGAGGAAACGGCCCTGCTCTACAGGGTTACCCGGCTGTCCTCTGTGAGGAAGCTGGCTGCCACATTCGTCTTCTGTGGAGATGCTTGTGGGTTTGAACCTCTGACTTTAGCTAAGAGTCTAGTGTTTAACCATTGCACCACCTGGTTCTGCTGATAAATGCTGGTCCATCACGGAAACTCACAGCCACTGAACTGTTTCAACTCACAGTGGCCCCGTGGGACAGAGAACTGGCCCTGGGGGTCTCAGAGCCAGTGATCCTCACAGAAGAGGACCGTCTCCTGCTCCTGTGGCCTCACTGGGGGACGGAACCTCTTTCTCCTGGGGAGTCACTGGGGATTTGAACCATGAACCATTGAACTTTCTTCTCCCACGTGATTTACAGCATCTGCAAACCCGCTGGAGGTCAGCTATGAGTTTCACATAACGGAAAGGATCCTCCTCCTGTAGATAAGTGGTGGAACTCTAACGGCTCAGCTCAAGTACAGACAAAAGACTTTCCCTCAGGATAGTAACAATCTTATTTGTTGACCTGACTTGACTTAAAGCGACTGGGAATACAGATCTTCATGAGTTAGAGGAAGGAAAAAAACAAAGGAAAGATTTGGGAGTTAGGAAGTTAGGGGAAACGTCCACACACCTATTCCTCACTTACTGTCCAGGTTCCAAAGACAGGTCCTTAAGTGAAAATTGGCATTATGTGAAAAATCTGTTATGTGAAAACTGAGGGGGAAATCAGATGCCAAAATAAGAGGACAAGGATCAAATTACATCACTGATAAACGCACCATTCTCTAACTGCCCGTCCAGGGGCCACGGCCAGTCAGCTGACATTAGTCGGGGGAGGGGGTCTGTGGGGTGGGGGGTACAGCCAGTCGGCTGACGTTTAACCTCAGCTCTGACAATCAGTAGAGTCCCAGGGAGGGGGGAGGCACAGCCAGACAGCTGACATTTAACCTCAGCTCTGACAATCTGCATTGTTTCACACTTGGTTCTTCCCACTTTTGATTCCCATGGCTGCCAGATGCATATCTAATGACAAAGATTTGGTGAGTAGATTTTTCTCTGTTGCCATAAATGTGAAATGCTGGATCACAAGACGGGTGATCAGGCATGAAAGCTGAACAGAAGAGCTGTACTCTCCCACAGTTAGATCTGGAAGGCATAAAGAAATAACTAACGTCTGGTGGCTTAGTGGCAAGAAGCTGTGCTGCAATCCCGAAGGTACGAGGTTCCAGGCCACCAGCTGCATGTGGGAAAAGGATGGGCAATCTCCTCCCGTGTGATTAGCTGCCTCTGAAAACCTGCCAGAGGCTCAGCTATTGGTCGGTTCTGACTAGATGGTTAACAACAACAACAACAACAACAACAAACAACAACAGTCTTAGCTTTTCCCCTTTATGTTGTTGCCTTAAACACCTATGATAGAAATAATGAGTATTTACATCATGCAGAATTCTAAAGGGAAAACCCCAGCCCTCTTCCCAGGGAGCAGATCTAAGAGTCGATGGGCTTGGGTGTCCTGACTGACTCCAGGGCTGAGTGGGAGAGCCCCACCGCACTCCTCATGGCGTGGCTCAGGGGCTCCAGGGCTGCAGTCTTTAAGGAGGTGGGTCACCAGGTCTTTCTCTCACAAAGCCACTGGGTGTTTGAACCGCTGACCTTTCAGGCAGTAGATAAGCGTTTAACCACTTTGCCACCAGGACTTCTTGTTAAAAGGGGCAGGTCCGTGTCATCACACTAACCACGCACACCACCACACAAGCACGTGGGAGGCCCACGCGCTGCTGGCTTTACCGATGGCCTGGGACGCGTCCACCATGGGCACCCTGGACACGGGCGTGAGCAGGCTGAAGAGCTGCAGGGTCAGGTCCGTGGTGGTGAGGGACGTGAAGCCCTTGAGCAGCAGCTGCTGTAAGCCCGCGAAGTCGGCCCACTTGAGCTGGGCCTGGAGCTTCTCGAGCTTTTCCCGCGTCTCAGCTTTATCCAGGGGCATGTGAGCCAGGACCCTGTTCAAGAGCCGCAAGGCCATGAGGTATTCGAACTCGAAGTCAGACTCCATCAGGGCCACGGTGACCCAGAAGATGGTGGCCAGCAGGTTGGTGGGATGGCTGATGTGGGCGGGGTCAGCCAGGCTGTCCTTCAGGGACGAGGCGCTCCTGGTCTTGGCGGACAGGCCCTGCTGGGTGCACGCCTGGATTCTGTCCAGGGTGGCGCTCCGCGGGGGGTCCGAAGAGCGGTCCACGACACCAAACTTCTTGGGGACAGAGAAGCTCCGCTGGTGGCGGCTGCGCTCTGCCGTGGTCGTGCCGCCGCCGGCCGGCCCCGGGCTCACGTTGAGCTGGCCGGTGCTCTTTCTGCTGGCCGTTAGTTTTGTGCTGGCACTTAAATCTGGTGATGAGGAGCTGGGTGAAAAAAGAAACACATTGATGAGCAGGCGAGTGTATTTCAGAGAAAGGCCCGCACCTCCCACCGAGCCGCAGGCCAGCCCAGGCAGGAAATGACCCCCGAGGACCTGAACAACAAGGCGAGCCCGCAAAGACCTCACGGTGGGAAGGAGCAGATGCGCCGGGCTCTGCGCAGACGCTATCATCTCACACACAGAAAACCCGGAAAATTCCTGGACTAACACAAGATTTTAGCAAAGTGGTAGGGGACACCAGCAGGACCCTATAATCTGCAAACACTACTTTTCAGATGAATGTCTTCTTGTTCTGAAAAACAAGACAAAACAAACCCAGCCCACTGTTGTTGTGCTGATCCCAACCCCTGGTTTCCTCAGGTTTCAGAGGCTGCAAACCTTCCCAGGAGGGGACTGAGGACCTTCCAGGGCACGGCTGGGGATTTGAACTCATGACCTCTCAGTTAGCAGCCCATCATGTAAGGTACTGCCACCAAGGCTCCTGAAGTAGAAGGGAGTATGAAAACAGAACTTAATAGGAAAACCCTCACAACAGGAATAAATTCACAACAGTGACTTGACCATATTGAAAGGCTACAGAGGTCACCCCTTGGCCAAGCTGTTGACTGATCTTTCATTTACTGGTTGTTGGAATTTGGGGAGAAGTAATTATCAAAGGGAGCTTTGGTGGCTCAGTGGTGAGGAGCTGCCAACCCAGACGTAGGGTTCGAACCCACCAACCACATGGAAGAAAGACAGACAATCTCCTTCCGTGCAATTTACGGCCTCTGCAAACCCACCAGAGGGTCAGCGAGGAGTGGTTCCAACCTGATGGTCCACAACAACAATGATAACACAAGGAGCCTGGTGGCGGAGTGCATCTTGTGTCTCGGACTGAGACCCAGAAGGTGGTGGACTGAGTGCACTGGACTCCACAGGAGGGAGAGGGAGGGGCCACTTCCTCCCACAAAGATTCACGCCCTGGAAACCTGGTGGACGGCGCGCCATGCTGGACGCTTCATGGCGATCTACTGCCGCCAAGTCTGTCGGCACCACTTTTCCAACAACATGTGCTCACTTCAGTCTGCAGGATATACTGGAAATCCTTACAAAGGTCAGACTTTTCCATAATGCGACCACACACTGAATGGGACACAACATAAAGCTGACCTAACTTTCAATGCATTGGGAAGGAAAAAAAAAGTGCGTGCTTGTTTTATTGAGATAATCTGCTTTACTGTGGTGGTCTGGGACCAAATCCATCATATCTCAAGGTTTGTCTATGTATATATCTCTCTATCTGTCTGTCTGTCTATCTTATCCATCTTTTCTTCCTTCCTCCCTCCCTCTCTTCCTTCCTCCCTCTCTCTCTTCATCTATCAAGTGTACGAGTTGTAGCTTCCATTTCTTTTTCTCAATCAAGAAAACATTATAAACATTTTTTCATGTGTAAAATTTTCCTTAAACCTAGGAATATTCCTTGGATTTTGCTGAAGCACCAGAATCTCCCAAACCTCCAGCATAGCCATGGCCACGGCATAGTGTGACACAGCCACGGCCACGGTTACACCCTCAGGCATGGCCA